CGCGGGCCGGCCTGGGGCAGGTGGCCGCCTGTGCGCGCCGGGGCGGAGCCCTCCCGGCCCGCCCTCCGGCCCCCGATGGCCCTAGACCCCGAGGTTGAAGATGCCATTTGAGGTGCTGGGACGCGCCTCGTGGCGCTCCCACGGATTGACAGAGGACCTTTGTACTTCCTTTGTATCCTACAGAAATTACCTGCTCTTTTCCACTTTAGGAAAGAAAATATTACGCTTCTGTAAACTTTTATTTTTAAGATACTGATCGTTAGCTTTCTAGTTATTTATGCCCGAAGCATTATTTTGTTTTAGATTTAAAACTGAGTTTGTGAATTGGGAAAGTTTTTTTTTTTTTTTTTTAATTGCGACATTCTTGTATACACACATTTTAATTTTGCTGACCCATTTGAGTTTGTCATCTTTGTTAACCCAGAGCACTTAGGTATTCTTCCACATAACCACAGTGAAGTTATCACATTTGAAAAATTTAAAATTGATATGTTATTACCTGATACACAATCCGTGTTTGGATTTCATTAACTGTTAAAGCTGTTTCTTTTCCAAGATTTTTCCAGAAATCACTCATTGCATTTACTGGCCGAAGCTCTTTATTCTATCATAATCCAGAGCAGTTCCTCTGGCCTCATCCCTTTTGTGTCTTTTAAAATAATAATAGTTTTTTCAGGAGTCCAGACTTGCTTTGCAGAATGCTCCTGAAATTGGGCAATATTGTGTGGCTTCTCAGCACAGAGAGAGAGATGACCTATTGATTAATTCAGTACTGGAGAGTTTTCAGTTTATTTGGTTAAGGTGATGTCCAGTTTGTCCACTGTAAAGACCTTTTTCCCTTTATTATTGGAAGGTGTTCTCCGGCACAAGACTGGCACTTTGTGACTGTCTTCCTCCACCGTTTTTCACCCAAAGATCCTTTAATATTTTTTGCCTGTAAAACATTACTAGCCATGGTGGTTGGGGTAGGTCACTCTTCAAAATGTAAGCCAGTTACACCTTTATACACTTTTATTGTGTAATGAAATTCATGTCCATAAAATTGTACCAAATGAAGTGCACACCTTAGTCATTAATTGCAGAATAAACACCCTACACAAATATATTTTAAAGAGAATGTTAAATTTTAAACTGTTTTAGAGTTTGGATATTTGTAGAGAAATCTGGCACAGTAAGCTGAATTCATCCTTTCACTTAACTACTACTAATCCTTTAAGTTTGGGGGACTCACAGTGTGGTAAGTCTGGACAGAATAAATTAGGGGGAATATTTCATGTTTGTGAAATTACCTGCATGTGGTTAAAAATACTTACAATAAAATGTCCTTGAATTTGAAAAAACTTACTTTAAAAAATTACATTTTCCCCAAAATAAAACAGTTAAATTACTTTAAAGCAATATTTTTTTAAGTTTATAAGAACACAAAAATGCTTATATTTCATTTAACATTTGACAAAGAAGAGGCCACATTTAAATAAACATTAAATCCTCAGGGCACTTTCATTACAGTTTTTTGAACCTCAGACCGAATACTCTGATGAATCTGTAATTTCTTATGTAATTTACTTTTATTTTACAAGTTATACCATGATAAAAACTTGAAAGAGCCAGACGTAGTGGTGCATTCCTGTAATTCCAGAACTGGGCAGGCTGAGATAGGATTGACAGCAGTTCAAGGCCAGTCTGGACTACACAGTGAGACCCTACCTCAAAAACAAGAAAAAACTTGGCAGAAGTTACTGTGAATTTTCCTTTAACGTTGTATAAGTTAATTAGATTCATACCACAGGAGATTTTTTGCTGTTTACACAGAGCTCCCATGATTTAAGCATTACACAACGTAAAGCTGAGATAACATTCAGAAATAAGTTTAGAAAATGTTGTTACAAAAAATAGAGTGAACAATAAAGTAGTGCACAAAGAGCTACCAGCTGCAAAACGCTCTATTTTCATTGCTACAAGTCTTCCATGTGGCTAAACTTAAAACACTAGTCCTCCAGAAAATATGAAAGCATTCTGGAAAAATACTGCGATGCCAAAATATACCACGAGTTTTTCCTTAGCAGCATAACCTCCAAAGAGCATCCATTTAGATGGTATCAGAGATCCAGAGGCCAGCCTGAAACCAAGGAACAGCCAAAGTGTAGCACCTGTTTGACCCAGGCAGCCTTTCCTATAACTATCTTCCTGGACTTGTCCGTTTGTTACTGCATTAATCATTAGGAAGGCTTTGGTTGCTCTCCCACCACAGACATTGTGTGAGTGTTTGAACTCTTCCATACTAGGATAAATAACAGTTGCATCTATGATAATGGGCCAGCCTGTGAAAAACCAAACCCAGTAGCAGTGGAAGCAGTAGTATTGTGCTTTTGGCTCCAATTAGTGCATTCTGAGAATTGCATATCTTCTAGAAATCCAGACTTCAGTGTAGCCCAGCCCTGACCTCAGACTACGTCTGGTACCTGGTTTCATGCCACATAGGGGTGCGTTACTCTTAAAGCAGTTTTTTTTTTTTTTTTTTTTTTTTTTTTTTTTGGAAAGGGTCTACAAGGTGTTCAGGGTCTCACTACTAGATCGGACTTGTAGTGATTCTCCTTTTACAGCCTCCTAAGTGCTGCGATTACAGGTGTGTGCCACCATGCCCAGTCTCAATTGCCATCTCAGCGTGCTCCGGGGGCGGGACCTGCACAGCAGTACCAGGATCAACCCCCCAGCCCCTGTGCCTGCTTGTAAAACAGTATTCTTAAACTTTAAGTACATCCGTTTTGAAATCACTTTAGTGGAAGTACCAACTATTAAAAAAAAGAAAAGAAAATAACCAAAATCCATCACACATGCTAAGGATAAGTGCTGTTTTTGGAACTATTTTTGTTTACCTGTGTGTATTTGTATTGGATCTTGATGTTAAACACTTATATTTTTGAAGATGTGGAAGTCTTCTTATAATTTAAAGATAAATAGTAACACATCGTCATATTAAAACAGATTTTATATTCTTATTTCACTATGAATGGACCCACATGGGAATATAGCAAAGTAAAAGTCAAAAAATAAGTGGAGAAGAAAATGGTAAATGGAAGTTTAATTTTAGTGCCATTGAAACTAGTGTAAAGCTTATGGAAGAACCTTGAGGTACACAGTCATGGGAGAGAAGCGGGTACTAGTACCTGACAACTGTTTTGAGTACCTGATGTAGATAGATAGGCCTTTCTGTTTATCATACATAGACTAAGGAGGTTGTTGTCTTTTTGATACAGGATCTCTGTATGCAGTTCAGAGTGCCCTTGAGCACCCTCCCTAGCCCAGGCTGGTCTTGAATTCACAGTGATCCTCCTTCCCCAGCCATCTGAGTACTGGGATTACAGGCATGTGCCACCACACTCAGCCTTGTTTTTAAGGAATACAAAAATAGTAAAAAAAAAAAAAAAAAAAGCATTAGAAACAATACAGTTTCACTAAACAAAGTCATAGAAATTCAGCCATAGTTGCTGTATTGCATGATGTTATCTTCAAATTAATTGTTTAGGTTACCAGATACAAATGTGCAAAATTGGTTAAAACAAAACAAAGTAAAAAGTGCTTTCAAAAGAGACTAAGGAGTTTGATAGGAACAATTACCATGATTTTAGGCTGGCCTTGAACTCACTTTGTAACCCATGCTGGCCTTCAGTTAAGCATCCTGCTGCCTCAGCCTCCCTGGAACTGGGATTACAGGCATGCTATCACCATGCTCAGCTTCTGTTTCTCTTTTAAAAGGTTTGTTTAATCTAAACTGGATTTGTCATGCCTTTTTACTCAGCTCTGAGACATACCTATTTGGATGTGAGATTTTCTAAGAGTACGTGTTATAGTTCCCTTGAGAGGAATTAGTTCTTATTTAAAATAGGTAGAGCTAAAATTGCACATGTTGGAAAAACACAGACAATTGTAAATTTTCTCAGTTTTTTTCTAATTTTTTTTTTCAAAAGTTTTAAAGTACCTATCGGTATTTTTGTTGTTCTTTTTGTTCATTTATGTACTTCCTCTGTTTTCCACATCATACTACAAAGTATTTGGACTTAACCATTGCACATACATGTTCAAACAGTTAATGTTTTCATTTAATCTAAAAACAAATGTTACATGTTTGTTAAAGTGTTTTGAAGAGGAATAATAACTTTATGCTCTTTGTTCTTAAAAAATAATTTGCAGTCAGGTTACTATTTATTTTCTTTTTAAATCTAGCAATTCATGATGACCAATAAACTGGACACAGCAATGTGGCTTTCCCGATTGTTCACAGTTTACTGCTCTGCTTTATTTGTTCTCCCTCTTCTTGGGTATGTATTACGTGTTTCTGACTTCAATAAGCCAGTTCTGTGGCAGTTTATAAAATGTCTTTCAGGTGTAATAATTATTAAACTGTGAGTGGTTTAAGGACAATAAAATACAAATACCATTTTGAATCACTAATAACCTAATAGTTGGAGAAATATTTTCTGTTTTGTGATTTGTTAAAGTAATATCACAATGAAAGTCTGAAGAAAAATAGATGGATAGGAATAAAGTGAGTTAATGGTTTTTGTATTTTTGCTTAACAGAAAACATTACTGTTTTATAAAATTCAGTTGCAGATATATGTGAAGAGAAGCTTTTAGGAAGGTAGAATGAGTTGAAGTTTTTTTTTTTTTCCTTTTGACAATTAAATGACTTAGGTGTTGTGCAATTCTGATGCAATTCACAGAGGAGGAAGAGAGTGGTAGTTGTTTATGTCTCATGGTAACTTCTCCTTTGATAATTTGCAGGTTGCATGAAGCAGCAAGCTTTTATCAACGTGCTTTGCTGGCAAATGCTCTGACCAGTGCTTTGAGACTGCATCAAAGATTACCACACTTCCAGTTAAGCAGAGCATTCCTGGCCCAGGCTTTGTTAGAGGACAGCTGCCACTATCTGTTGTATTCACTCATCTTTGTCAATTCTTACCCTGTTACATGTATCCTTTTCTACTCTTTTGACAGTGAAAATACCAGCTAAGCATGTGGGAGCTGTCTTAGGTTTTGATAGGAAAGACTCAGTGTTGAGAATTGTCCATGAAGCATGGGTTTGCTTGCTTCTTGGCATTTTTTTTCTCTGAAGAAGATAGCTTTAGTTTAAGAATTTCTGACCTTGTTATTTAAAAGTAAAAATATTGAAAAGCTAATTTGAGAATTTTAAACTATGTCTGTCAGTGTTCTTGCTTCTTGTCAGCTTCTGTACTAGCAATGGATGTTTAAAACTTAGGTTCATATGGTGACATGTGCTTGTAATCTCAGTACTCTGGGATGCTAAGGCAGGAGAAATGCAACTTTAAGCCTTGCTGGGGCATTTCAGCAATTTAGCAAGATCCTGATTCAAAATACAAAATAAAATGGGCTGAGAATGTAACTTTGTGCAAAGATTGTGAATTCAGTCTGCATTACTTACATAACAAAAAAATTCAGATTCAAACCACAAGCTAAGGGGCTGGGGAGATGGCTCAGTAGAACAAGTGCTTCCCTGGCAAGCGCAAGGGTCTGAGTTCAATCCCCAGTTCCACAAAAAAAAAAAAAAAAAAAAAGCATATTGGGGCTGGGGAGAACTGAAATGTTGTTCTAAGAGCATTTGAATACTTAGTGATATAATTATACATAATGGAAAATACAATAAACCATTTTTGCAAGATTAAATATTACCCATTTACAAGCATACCTATAACAAGTTTTTTGTTTTAATGTATGGATCTGTAATGTCACATCGTAATTTGTATTTATTTTTTGGTGAAACTCACTATGTGATTGTTATATTGCAACTGTGTCATTTGGCATATCATTGGATTGACTAACTTTTCTTAGACTTTGTCATTGAAGAGCTTTGTAGTCACAATTATTAAAATTCTTGGTGTTTTGTTTAGTTTTGAGACAGTGTCTTGCTATGTAGTTCAGGCTAGCTTTGAATTCACTGTGGAGTCCAAGCTGGCCTCCAGTTTGTGGTGATCCTCATGCCTCAGCCTCCTGCATGCTGGGATTACAGATGTGTGCCATTACACCAGGCCTAAAAGTCTTGTTTTTCTGAGATATGGGAAGATATGTAACAGTTCTTGGTTATGTCTTTTAACAGTTTAAAATTTTCTTAGGGCAATAGAAGTGAGAGAGAATGTGTTCTAGGTAATTAATTTAGAGCAAATTAAATACATCAGTACTGAACTCTGTCTGGGACAGTGCATGGCACTGATAGGTGCTCAGTATGTTTTATAAAGTGAATCTTTAGGTCATCCAAATGAAACTGACTGAAGACAACCTGTGTGCCTTTTTTGTATGGCTGGTTATTTGCTAACCTGTCTCATGGGACATTGAGGACTAATCCTGTTCCCTACATTCTGATGGAATAGGAGTGGTAAGCAATGGCAATAGCATAAACTGGTTGTATGAAGAAATGGTAATTTTATTCTTAAGTTGGGTAAGGGCAATAATTTTACTTGGTCTGTTAATGACAAATAAGGTACTTAGGGTTAAAATTGCACTCTACAGCCTAAACCTCTAAATAGTTTAAAAAGTGTTACTGAAAGCTAGGATGAGTCTCTTGTTAGGGACCTATAAACTCCGCAGTGTAAGAGGTGGATTTGTGAATTGTACAGTATTCAGGATGAACAGCTCATTCGAAATCTCTAGCTTCGACCTTCGTGTAGTCTTGTTTTGTTTTTCTAGCCTTAATCTGGCTATTTAGCCCAGGCTGGCCTTGAACTTATTCAAAAGAGAATGAAACAGTCTAGGAAAATGAGTGGGTGACAGTCTAGGAACAGTCTAGGAAAATTTAAAACCGAAACCCAGGTACCTCCACTTGTAGCTCAGAGGTCTGTTGCACTACCTAACACTGACTCTGTTTTGAATAAATCTGAAGTGTAGATATATGTCAAAGTTTAAATTGAATTATTTAGGGCTGTGGAGATAGCTCAGTGGTCTAAGCACCTGCTTTGATAAGTGCAGGGACCAGGATTTGATTTCTGGCACTACACGCCATTTCAACCCTGCCCCCAGCTGGGCCTACTGAGCTGGTCACTGAGACCTGGGTGTGGTGGTGCATGCTTATAATCCTAGTACTAGAGAGGGGGGAGACAAGAAGATGACTACGAGTTAGAGCTGCATAGTGAGACCTACCACATACATTTAAAAAAACAAATTAAACTGACAGTTTTACAGCAGTTTTAAGCGAGGATTATGGCTTTCATCAGTTTGAAAGTGATGTATCTCTGATTCCTTAAAATGTTTAAGACTGTGATTGTGTGAGTATATACGATCTCTACTCAGAAAATTGGCATTTTACCTAATTTGTGTGAGTAGTAAGAAGAAATTGGTCAGATTATTTGGAAAATTAGTATATAGAGAACTAGGTTATTTTTCTAATACTTAAGTAGGTACTCACCAATTAAAAGAATTGGAGTCCAAATGAGTTATGGTTATAATGATTTTGGTACTCAGATTATGTTATAGTAGTCACCATTTCCCATTTATATTAAGCTTTTTAGGTGCAGTATCTAAAAATTAAGGGAGATTTATAGGAAATAAATAATAAAAGACTTCAGCTGAGGAAAATTTAGGAATTAGCTCTTAACTCTTACCTCAGTGGTCAAGATCCATGAAAGCACACAAATATTTAAAGGCTTAAAAGGTGTAGGGTTAAAAACTGCATGTAGGCTCAGAGGTGACCTAAGTTTGAATATAATTTAGCAGATGCTTGCAGTGCTTTACTAACCAGCAGAAATAAGTGAGAGAAACTTTTGTCATTTTTCTTCACAAAAAGAATGGTGAGTTCTAGAAAGTCGAATACTTTTTTTATATGCTTAATTAATTAAATTTTCCATTATATGCAGTGTCATAAGCACATTCTATTTTACAATTTGAAAGTACTTTTTAGATTTTTAAATTAAATTTATTGACATTGTAGATATATATAATGATCACATTCACCATAGGGAATTTTTAAATAAATAACAAAACTACATTTAATAGTAAAACAAAAGCATTGTACTGAACTAATTTTTCAAGTGTTTCATATCTATATTTGGATATAGTTGTGTGTTTTGCAGAATACTTGATAACTTGGAAATGTTTTCCTTAATTGTTTGCTTCAGTGAGTATTTTCCCAGTCTTGTTATTCTCCTTGCTTCATGCTGCCACATACACGAAAAAGGTCCTTGATGTAAGTAAACTATGCTATTTCTTTGACTCCTGGATTATAGATAGTTGACATAAATTTGAGTTCTAAGACCTGGTATTTGTCAGAGAGAATCCCTTTATTTTTTATTTTACTGTATTTTTTTTGGTTGAGTTGGGTTTTTTTTAGGGGAGGTTTTATTTTTTGTTTTTGGTGCCGAGGGCTTGAACCCAGGGCTTTCAGCTTGCTAGGCAAACAGAATCCCTTTATTCTTTACAAACTTGTTAAAAATTATTTAGTAATTTGAAAAATTTGAGTTTGGAAGTTTTTATTGTTAGAATGTCACATACTAGTACATATTGTAAGATAAAGGGTTGCACTGAAAGGTACCCCCACCCAGGTGTGAAGGATTTTCTGAAATCTGGAACAGTTTTTTGTTCTTTAAAATACTTGTATCTTTTAGGCCTGATGAAATATCTTGTTCTGTCAATATATAATTCTAGTGTAACAGATAATAATAAGAGCATACTGATTCTTTTTTATGTTAATGTTAACAACTGCAGGGGTCCTGGGAAATGGCTCAGAATAAGTGCTTGCCTGGCAAGCGCAAGGGCCTGAGTTCAATCCCCGGTTCCACCAAATAAATAAATAAAAACAAATACACATACAAAAAAAAAAACAACTGCAGTTGTTCTGGAATTTTATTGCTGGACTGGAGCATTAAGCTTAAGTGCTGGGAGGATATACTGCATATGCACTGAAATTTGAATTAAAATACTCCAATTTGTGCCTTAACTGGCCTTTTGCTTTATCTTGCTTTAGCAGCAATTCAGTCTCTAATTTCCACAGTTAACTAAGGAGTCACATTTTAATTATATTATGGATAGTCAGATTTTTATTTGATTAGAAAGCGATAATGACCCTTTTTGATAAAATGTTACTTTTACAAAAAGCATTTTAACAATGTACTTTTGTTAATATGTTTTGAGTTGTCTTCAGATACACAAAATAAGGCACATGCCTGTAATCTCAGCTCTTGGGAGGCTGTAAAGAGGTGGATCACTATGAGTCTGGTCTAGTAGTGAGACCCTGAACACTCTGTAGACCCTTCCCTAAAAATACAAAAAGAAAAAAAAAGGAAGTTACACTAATATCTGTCTTTATAATCCTTTTCAATTGATTGGCTTTTGGTATTATTATCTGTGGGGTACTTTGGCTGCTTATTTAAAAAAAGAAAATACTGGAAACACTCAGTATTCCTGGGGTGTGCATCTGTGTCTTTAACCACCTGCATACTAAAAGTGCTTGCCAAAAAAATTGTGTCTGTACTGAATACATATGGACTTTTCTTGTCATTTCTAAGCAGTACAGTGTAACTTTTTACATGGCATTTACATTATAGTAGGCATTATAAGTAAACTGGAGATGCTTTAAAGTATGAGAGGATGTGTGTAGGGTATGTGCAAATGGTCATTTTACATAAGGGTCTTGGGCATCGGCAGATTGTTATGTCTTGGGGGTATCCTGGAGCTAATCTTCCATGGATACTGAGGGATAACTGAGTCACCAAAATGCTTCATTATTTGTAATGTTTGTTTTGTTCTAGGCAAAGGGTTCAAATAGTTTACCTCTACTGAGAGCTGTCTTGGATAAATTAAGTGCTAATCAACAAAATATTCTGAAATTCATTGCTTGCAATGAAATTTTCTTGATGCCTGCTACAGTTTTTATGCTTTTTAGGTAAGAATAAAAAAATACATGTGCTTTTGGAAAACTGGTAAGTGAATGTAATAAAGACATTAACACAAATTTTATGTTGGTTGAATCAGTTCAAATAGATGCTGATGCAGAGCTAGATGGATCTTAATCATTTTAGTAAAGAAGCTAGGCATAGTAAACTAGGAATTTGTTGTGTAGTTCATATTTGGACTGTCCATCATTGGACAGTCTAGAAATTAATTTCAAAGTTACTACTTTTGAAAAGAGTTTGCCCATTACATTACTTAGAGGATCTTTTTAAGGTCAGGTGAACCAGGTATGCTGGTGCCACTTAGCAGGCTAAGAGAGGGCTACCATACATTCAGGTGCAGCCTGGACAACTTAGTGAGATCCCTATCTCGAAGTTTAAAAAGGGGTTAGGAATGTAGTTCAGCTCCTGGATTCCATCTCCAGCACTGAGAAAAAAAGTACTCCAGTAGTTAGACTTAAAGCAGTAGTTGCCTGTAGGTAGCCCAGGCTGGCCTTGAAGTTGTGCCAATACTCCTGCCTCAGCTTTCCAAATGCTGGCCTTACAGGCGTGCATCACTATGTCCAGCTTATATCATTATCTTTTTACCTAGCATGTACAGAGCTTCAGATTCAATCCCCAGTACAAAAAAAAGCTAACTGAGAGCAGGTAAATATAAAAATCCAGCAGCAACAGTTCATGAATGCTGGATCTAAGACTTAATGAATTTATTGTAGCCATAGTTATGTTATTGAACTATAAAACTTTTATTATAGGTTTATTTATTTATTTTTTTCAAACAGGGATTCACTATGCAGTTCAGGCTGACCTTAAACTCAACACGTAGTCTAGGCTTGTCTTGAATTCAAGGAGATCTTCCTGCTTCAGTCTTCTAAGTGCTGGTATTATAGGTTTGGACCACCATGTCTGGCTAATGTAGATTTAGTAAGTCTTATCCTAGAAAGTGAAAGCATAGAAAAGGGTAATGTAATCTGGGGCAAAGAAAAGGATAAAAATTGTACTATCTTCCCGATGAATTATAGATCTTATTTTTTTATCTCTCTTTTGTAATCCTAATGAGACACTTAAACAGTTTAATTAGTGAAAATAATTTTTTGCTTCCTTTCCCTAATCTTGGCCTTAGAGCATACCAGGTTCAGTCATTTGTTTGTAAGTAATAGAAAATTAAAATGGTAAATACTATAACTAGTTTTTTATATGGATATAATTGATGTCTACACTCTTAAAATAATTTTTTATGTTCATCCTAAATCAAGAACGAGGCTCAGTAGTGGAGGGCCTGCCTATCTATTTGTTATGCCCTGGTTTCCATCCTTGTGCTACAAGGTAACACTCACCTGTAATCCCAGCACTGAGAGGCAGGTCAATCACAAGTTCAAGTTCAGCCTAGGCAATGTAATAAGACCCCTTAACATAAAGAGTGGGAGTGTAGCTCAGGGCAGTGCCCTGGATTCAGTCTTCATTACGATGAACAAGCAAAGTGAAATGCTGAGATCCTGAGTAAGCTTAGACAAAAAAAACGTCATTTTAGAACTTCAGAATTTTTGTTGAAACACCAGATTTTGACTTCATTGGTGCAATGACTCATTTGAGTCCCTTAAACATTTTACCGAAACAGTTACCTATGTACAGAGTTGCATCTTAATTTCCAGTTTTTGTATAGGAAGTGAGAATTTGCCAGAAATACTTAAGTGGAGAAATTAACTGTACTTTTTTTTTTCCAGTAGAATTTGCTTCTCTATTGAAACTGGATTTTGGTATCTATTATCTAACTTCCCTGTTTCTGTCTTCCTTCTTACACTTCCCATGTGCTTTGAGAACAACTTGTTTTAGCTTCTATATATGAATGAGAACATACAAATATGTGTCTCTCTGTACTGGGCTTATTACTTTGTTTCCTCCAGTACCTTTCATTTTTCCTGTAAATAGCAGTATTTCATTTCTCTGTATGGCTGAATGATAATCCATAATGGTTCTATCCTTGGGTATATGTATCATATTTTCTTTATTCATTTATCTGCTAATGGATAACTCAGTTGAGACAGCGAATAGTGATGATAAACAGAGTGTAAGTATGTTGATTTCAGATCCTTTGGATATGTAGTACATAGAAATTGGATGGTTGGATCTTGTATTTTTAGTTTTTTGGGAAACTCCAATGTTCTCCATTGATGACTGTACTAATTTATATTCCCCATTGGCTGTGTATAACAAGTCTTTCTATCTCTGCATTCTTGCCAGGATTTGTTGTTTGCTTTTATCACAATAGCCATTTTGTTGGGTGAGATGATATCTCATTGTAATTTTGATTTGCATTTCCCCATCGCTAGTGATCTTGAGCACTGTTTTGTATATGTGTTGGCTATTTGTGTCTTTTGAGAAATGTCTATTCAGATCATATACCCATTTGTTTTTTGGATTGTATTCAGCTTCTTAAGTTTGTTATATATTCTGGGTATTAATCCCTTGTCAGATGAATGCTTGCAAATAATTTCTCCCAATCTGTGTATTTTCTTCATTTTTTATTTTTTCCATTGCTGTGAAGCAGTTTTCCAGTTTGATAAAACCCAGTTTGTCCTTGCTTTTGTTGCCAGTGCTTATTGGAGTCTTATCCATTGGTAATATTTCATTTCTCTGTATGGCTGAATGATAATCCATAATGGTTCTATCCTTGGGTATAGAACCCAAGGATATCCTTGGGTATATAAATACTGCCAAACTCATTGGTTATACTAATATCCTGAAGTATTTCTCCTATTTTTCTTCTGATGGTTTTAGAGCTCTTCTACAATTTTGAATTTTTAGTATATGGTGAGAGAAAGGTACCTACAGTAGTTTGATTCTTCCACTTATAGGTATAAAGTTTGCCCTAGCACCATTTATTGAAGAAGCTGACCTGCCTCAAGATATGTTTTTGGTTTCTTATCAAAAATTAGTTGGCTGTAAATGGGCTATAGATCTTATTTTTAGGCTCTCCTGTTTCATTGGTCCTTTTGTGTCTTTATACCACGATGATGTTTTCCTGGTTACTATTGCTCTTTACTGTGTTCTGAGGTTAAGTATTGTTGTGCTTCTAGATTTTTTTTTTTGGCTCAAGATCAGTTTGGCTATTCTGAGTCTTTTGTGTTTCTATATATATTTTATGATTTTCTATTTCTGTGGAGAAAATTGATAATTTAATGAGGATTGCTTTGAATCTGTAAATTACTTTTTAACATTCTTTCAACCCTAGGGCATAGGCAGGCTTCCTATTTTTTGTGTGTGTTTTTCAATGCTTTGTAATTTTTTAAATAATTGCAGTGTTAATAAATTTGTACTCTTGCCCCCCTCCCTGTTTTGTTTTGCAATTTATTGATCTCACCTAGGGTCTTGCACATGCTAAGCAAGCGTTTTACAATGGAGTCAAATCCCTAGTCCTCTATTTCTAATAGGAAAAGCTACTAATGCTTTAAGTATGTAACTTGAATATAACCCAAAGTATGAAGCTTTTAATAATTGTGTCATTACCATTTTAATATGGTACCCTTGAGATTTGATAGTTTAATATTAAGATTTATTAAGTTTTATTTGTAGCAGTATTGCTGAAAGTGCTCTGTATTTAAAAATGAATTTTCAATATGTGAGTTTATCCTACACATATATGCACTTGTGTGCAAAGACAGATATAGGGATGATCATTATATCTTTATTTCTGATTATGTACTGAAGTAAAAGGTGAAAGATTTATTATACGATCTGAAGAGAAATCAGAGTATTATGTACTGAAGTAATCCTAAATATTCAGAACTAAAGATCCTGTTATAAGCCTAAGATGGTGGCTATAAAAAAAGAATGAGATCATTTATATGTTGTCATGTGGGATGATCTCCAAGATATAATCAAATTGGTTAAAAACAGTGTGGAGTGTTCCCATTTATATTTGGTGGTAAAGGATGTGCACAAGTACATATGGTTTTTTTTTTTTTTTTTGGCAGAATTTGGGATTGAACTTAGGCCCTTGTGCTCGCCAGAGAACCGCTTACTCCACTGAGCCATTTCCCCGGCTCCCCCCTTTTTTTTTTCCATAAGTACATATGTATGTTTCTGTCTCAGTTTCTTGAAAATGATAAAACTGTCTTCTTAGAGTTGTTATATGGATTTAGTGAATTATTACCATAAAGTAAGTGGTATATTAGTATTAATCATTTTATATACTTGTGAACATAAGTTTTTGGAAGGCAGCTATGCTAACCACTATACCACCAACACCTCGGCTGGACATAAGTTTTTGGAAGGATATATTAAAAATTGTGCTTTGAGAAAAGGCCTAACTGGGATAATGGTAAACATTTTTCAGCAACTATTTCCTTTGTATTCTATATTGTGTGTTTTTTCAGTTTAGAGTTAAGTTTGTCAAATTATATGTCGGAGATAAAGGATGTGATATTTGATTTGATGTTTGTAATCATAAATTATTTTATTTATGAAAATATCACATAACTTAAAAGGCTAAAAAAATTAACCTAAGAAACTGTACTTAGCACTTTAATGTTTTGAGATACAGTTGTAATACGTATAGTTTTATATTCTGTAGTTCCTGTATAGTTTTCATAACTGGAATTTTAAGTAGTCACATACTAAATCCATTAAGTAAACAAAATGCAATTTACTTAACCCTCCTATCTCATTGTCCACTTCAGGTTGCTGCTATGATTTTTCTTTATGTATTTTTGCAGTTCGGGGGATTGAACTCGGGGCCTCACGCATACTAGGCAAGTGCTCCACCATTGAGCTGCATCCCCAGTCCCATTGCTGTGTTTTGTTTTTAGTCATTTAAATGAATACCATAATCCAGAGATTTTTATAGGAAAAACTCCAGATTTGAAATTTTTATAAGTATATGTAATTTTGGGGGTATTGTGCTTATACTTTTTAATCAAAAACACTTAGTGTAGGTAAGCTGGTATACTTTTGAGCTTTCATTTGTTTATATGGAATAAACCACTTTTTATTTGAGGACTTACTAAATTTTAAACCTTGATTTTTGCCAATTGTGGTAATTATGGAAGCATCTGTGATATTTTTTGACTTAGTATTTTAAAATTTCAAAAGTAGTATGTTTTTATACCAGTCATCTACATTATTTAGTTTCCTTTTTAAGAATAACTGGGATTTAGCTATGATAGATACTACTGACCATTTAATAAATGAAGACACACATATTCTCCATTTGAATTGCCTGTAAGTTTTGATTATACATATGAATTGGTAATAGATATTTATCATCATTATATTTTTTATTTCAGTGGCCAAGGAAGTTTGCTCCAGCCTTTTATATACTATAGATTTCTTACTCTTCGATATTCCTCTAGAAGAAATCCATACTGTCGGTAAGCTGATGATTAGTTTAAATTTGTATTATTTATTTAAGCTATTGGTAATATATAATTTTTATAACTCTTAGAAGTTATTTAGCTAATATCTTATAATTTAGAAGGAAGAAGTATTTTTGTATATTTAAGATCTAGGCCTCAGAATTAGGAAGGCTTAATGAAGAGGTGATTGTGTAGACTTCTGAGTTATAAAGGGGTTGTCTCCTGGTAGATTTGTTGTAAGTTGGAGCCCTAATGAGTTGAAAGTGCATCTAATACACCTACCCTATCAAACATGGCATGACAACACTAGTGGCTGACTGGGTGTTGGGGCTTTCTGCCACTGAATAGCAGCATTGCAATAACGAATAGCATACATGTATTGCTAACCTTGGGAAAGATTAAAATTAAAGTACAGTTTCTGTTCAGTACATATCACTCAGATTGAAAGTAAGTCAACATACAGTAAGTCACATGGTACTTTGGGGACTACCAGTTTTCTAAGAAGTTGATATTATAGATATGATTACCATTAAAACACTGCTAATGGGAAGTAAAGATATGTGAGACTTAGATCTTATTCTCAAGAAAATTTCCTTCAAGATAAGAAATTTGTAGGTCAGTAGACAATAGTTCTCTGCTCATTCAGTTTCACTTTTTGTGGTTTCAGTTGCATGCGGTCCAAAAATATTAGGTGAGAAATTCTATAAGTAAATAATTTGTAAGTTTTAAATTGTGTGCAGATCTGAGTAAGATGCTGATATCTTGTACTGTCTAGCTCCCTCTCACATGGGTTATAAATCATTCCTTTGTCCAGAATATCTATGTTGTATAATGCCTAATTTATAAATTAAACTTTCTCAAAGTGTGTAGGTGTAGGAAAAACGAAGTATATGTAGGTTCGCTACTGTCTGTGCTCTCAGGCATCTCTTGGGGTCTCTGAACATATACCACTTGGGGAAGGGGGAATAACCATATAATGAGTTGCATATGTTTATTTTATTGTATTAATACTGTTGTCCACAGAAAGAAAACGTGATTCGGCCAGAATATAATCCTAGGAAAGTTTCCAAATTGGGATTTGTTCTGGAAAAATTAAGTACATAGTGAAAAAGGGGAAAGCATTTTAGTTAGAGAGACAGTAGCACCTTGAATTCAGAGACATAAAAGTATAAGGCATATTTGAGGAGTATGACTTGTTGAAACTAGGACTAGGTAGAAAGGTATATAGAGCCCTATCTTAAAGCTTCTTGAGTTTCAGGACAAATTTTGAATTTATCTTTTAGATATGTAGGAATAATGATTTGGACATGATCAGATTGATAAGTCTTCTGCAAAATAGTTTGCAGAAAAAAACTGGAAGCAGAGAAATATTTCAGGCAATCAGTATAGTTTTCAGGAACAAAATACACAAATTACACATTTTGTTCTCAAAGCAGAATTAAAATGAGTATATGTGTCTTTATAGCATTTTCAGTGTAACTCAGTAAGATGTTGACATTTTTATTTTCATGTTTAAAATAATGTTGAATTCAGCTAGAAATCCAGTGTAGGGCTGAGGAGGTAGCTCAGTAGAATAAATACTTGCCTGGCAAGGACAAGGTCATGAGTTCAATCCCCAGTACTGCAAAAAAAAAAAAAAAAAAAAAAAAGAAAGAAGTCCAGTGTATTAGGATGGTCTCTGTAATATCATGAGTAAAAACTGAATCTGAATTTAGACACATTTACAGTGTGAGTGTAGGCAAAGTTATTTCAACTTGAATTTCTTCCTTTATAGAGGAGAAAACCTTTCTAAAGTACTTATTTGTGCCAGGGCCAGGCATGGTGGCACATACCTATAATCCCACCATTTGGGAGGCTGAGGCCAGAGGATCATCATGAGTTTGAGGCCAGCTTGGGCTACATAGTGAGTTCAAGGTCAGCTTGTATTACATAATGAGACCCTGCCTCAAAACAAACAGAAATAATAAAGTACTTAATTGTGCTGAGCACAGTGGTATGTGCCTGTAGTCACAGCTTAGCAATACTAGCAGCTGGTAAGATGGGGGACATGGTTCAGGAGTTTAGAGCAACTAAACTGTGTTGCCTGGGCAACACAGACCTTGCCTCTTTTTTTTTTTTTTTTTTAACAGACCTTGCCTCTTAAAAGAAAAAAAGAAAAAATGCGTGGAGGGTTAGATACTATTGGATTTTTTAAAAACAACCTTACTACAACCTTATTTTCCTTACTCTATAGTCTAACTCTCCTTTCAGGGTATTTTTTAATGTTCATTTTGTGAAATGTTATTGTAGACACAGGCTTGGTTGTTTTGTTTTTCTGTTTTATTTTTTGGTGGTATTGGAGATTGAATCCAGGAGTGCTGTGCTACATACCCAGTTGGCCCCTCACTCCCCATCCTTTTTCAGACAGTCTCACTAAATTGCCAGGGCTGGCCTCAAACTTGGGATCTTCCTAGTCAGCCTCCTGAATAGCTGAGACTACAGGTATAGACTACCGCATAAGAACACAGGTTTGTGTAAATAAAATCTGAAAGATAAACAATAGATACTGTGAGGGAAAGAATCTGTTCAATGGGAAGAAAAAACTGGGATGAGGAAAAGGATGAAAGAAGAGAAAAAGATATATTCATGTATATATGCAGGATAGTTTGGATAATTGTACTGCTGATTTCTTTTTTTTTTTTTAATGTATTTGGTATAGGGTCTCACTGCATAGCTTGGACTTGTGATCCTCCTGTTTTCAGCCTCTGGGAATGTGCCACTACGCCCAGGCTGGCATGGCCTGTGGAGCCAAGGAGCGAACCCTGGCCCCTGCATTTGCTTAAGCAGTCGCATAGTTTGCTGAGCTATCTGGCCAGTGGCCCTGTACTGCTGATTTCTGCTTGTCTGTTGAAAGGAGCAGTTAATGCTTAATTTTTTTTCTTTTTAATTTCACGTAACTTATTTTTAACCAGCTTTTCAGGTTTATATCTGGTAACCTAAACAACTAATTTGAAGATAACATGCAGTACAATAACCATTGTCAGTTTCCTATTAGTTCAGTGAAATTTTGTATTGTTTCTAATTTTAACCGTTTTGAACTTTTTTTTTTTTTTTTTTTTTTTAAAGAACAGAGGTTCTTAATGAGTTCCTGGTAGTAAATAAGCCTTCCCTTTACTCGATTTTATGATTGTCTTTTTCTGGTCCCTGTGTTGATTTTTTATATTCTTTTCTGGTTTCTTTCCTTAACATCCACTTACAGGTTTGTTGTTTTGTGCTTCTTTATACCCTGTTTTTCTATATATCTTTTAAGTCATGCCACTAAATCTAAAATTTAGGATTTTTTTGTAGACTGAAAATAAAGGTAGCAGTGGATCAAGATATCACAAGTATGTGCCCCCAAAAAATCTGTAAACATCTATAAGCACCCATTTTAATCAAAACAGTGGAATAGTAATGGGAAACATTTGAGCTGAGTTTTGGCAGTTTGTACTATTTTTACCTGTCATGATATTCCCAAAATGGTAGTATAGTTCCTTTTTAGATGTCTGCAATAAAGTGTCTGTAGTCATGCTGTCTAGATCAGTAGACATGAGCCACACTTAACCATTTAAATTAATTAAAATTCATAAATTTAAGATTCAGTTCCTGAGTCACAGAAAGCTACAGGTTAGGGGCTTACCAGTCATGTGTCACTGATGGCAGCACAGGTCTACAACATCTTGATTGTCACTGATAGTTTTGCTCATAGCACTAAGCAGTGATGGAGAACTCCTTAGAGGTTTCAGTGATAACAGTCTGCTGTGGATACATATGCCATAGGTTCGCCACTACTAGTCTGTTAGTCTTCTCCAGGGAGAAAGCCAGAATTTTTTCTTTACTAGAGTATTTTTAGATGCTGTCTCATTTTATTCATTTGACTGATGCCTGTTGAGAAGTGATTTCATACACATAGTCAGGTATGGTGTTGGTAATCCCATGACTTGGGAGGCTGAGGGAGGAGAGTCATCTGATGAGTTCATGGCCAGCCTGGGCTACATAGTATGTCCAAGGCTGACCTGAACTACTGTCAAGACCCTGTCCCAAAAAAGAAGAATGGTAGGTGGGTGATTTTATGTGATTGATAACAGGCTTCTATAGAATTAAATTGTGCTTTTGAGGGACTTAGTCCTGAGTAGATTAGACTGCCAAGTTAGTATGATGGTGGAGGGAATAGGAGAAAAATGAGGATTCATTGAGGCAGGAACAGAAGGGGACCTTTCAAAAAAAAAAAAAGTGAGACCTTTCAAAAGAAGAGTCTGAGTAGTTTTACCTTGGTATGTGTATGTGGAAGTACTCAGCATAGTTACATGTTACTTGAGCTCAGGAAATACATAGGACAGTGATAAAGATTTGTGCACAGAGAAGGATACAGTAGAAAGGACCAGATTATGAAAATCCAAACAAAATTTCATTTGGATATGTAGGAAAACCTTTGCAGTTTATAGCGTGATGGGTTTAGGAACCCCCATGGTGAAGTTTAATTTAAAAATAAATATTCCAGAAGCCTGTAGTCATATCAAGATGAAAAAGTAGACCAATTTGGAGACTTGTTAGAGTAGTTCAGAACCTGAACTAGTCTAGTGGAGAAGAAAATAATTAGAAAACAACTCAGAAAGTAGCACTTTAGATCACAAGGAAGAGGAATGACAGAAATGCTAAGAGAGGAAAGAAGGGCAGGTTTTGAGTGTTGTGCATTTTTCTACATTGTGTATTTCTGTCTTTGTGATACCACATTAAATACTTTTTTAAAAAGGAAAACATTCTAACCATAGGAGTAACCCAGAGGACATACAAAATTAGAAGTAAAGTTGCATCTTTATGTAGGATGAGTCAGCATGTAAAGTTGAAATTGTGAATAGTCAAAATTGCTTGCTAGGGCACTGGTGAGATGGCTCAGTGGTCTAAAGCACCTACTTAGAACAAACTTAGCAAAGCGCAGAGACCGCGGTTCAATCCCCCAGCACCACATGCCAGCTAGCCCGCCCCCTGGTGGTCTGAACTGGCCACACACACACACACACACACACACACACAAATAAATAAATAAAATTGCTTGCTATTGATGATCTTTCAAGTCAGCTATAAATGGTAATACAGTATATGTGATTTTGCCTATACAAGCCAGGTAATGTGTATGATGTACAGAATATAGTAAAAATATTTTGTAGGCAATAAGCATACTTGGGGCAAAGGCAAGAATCCAGTTTTTGAAGCACAAACACGAAACATAACTCAGGCAAAGAAGTTGTGGTAGGAGACGAGGGAGCAAATTAAAGACCAGATTGTGTAGGGAATTTGATGGTTCTGAAGACAAAAAGAGCTAGTTTGATTCTGCTAGGAAGTAACATTAAACACCATGTTGTCTCATTTAAATTTAACTACAACTCTGAAATAGATATTCCTAATTTATCGATGAAGAAAGCTCTGAGAGATTTGTATGTTCATTTAAAGAAGTAGTGTGTGGGTCACCTTTATTAAATAACTTTTTTTTTAAAGAAATTAGAAATATAGTATGCCTCTTTATTTATTTATTTATTGTTGATTTTTAAAAAACAAGGTTTTTTTGTTTTGTTTTTCTGGTACTTGGGATTGAACTCAGGATTATGTGCTTGCCAGGCAGGTGCTTATGCTGCTGAGCTATCTCTCCACCCCTCTACCGTTCTTTTTAAAACAATTTGAATTTATCCTAAATTAAATGTGACAGTTACGTGACTACTATAAAGAAAAAAATATAAATCATCCCTAATCTCAGTCCTTACAGGTAGCCATTTTTGGAAACATTTTGTGTTTTTGCACCTAAAAAAAGACAGCTACTGATTTTAGAGTGTTAATTTTGTGTATGCATGTGTTAAGAGTCAGGACCTTACTACTATATATTGCCCAGGCTGATCGCCAACTCCAGGGCTTCAGCGATCCTGTTGCCTCAACCTGTGGAGTGCTAGAACTATATAGGTGCCATCCAGTGGGACTAGCTCATCTTGCGTATATTCCAATAATGCTTGCTAGGTTAATCTTTATTTCCGTAAATTCTTTATTGGCTTTATAAACTCCATCAACATTTGGTATCATTATATTGCCTTTTTTTTTTGTAAACTGGGAAAAAAAGTATTTATTTAGAATTAGCCAGCTGGACTCAGTTTAGATGATCCCAATTTTGTTGGTAACATCCAATGCATTATAATCGGGAGCTAGTCAAATGTATGCCTTCTTTCTGTCAGGCCTGATTAGGGTATTGACCTTGGCAACATTGATGTCATACAGCTTCTTTACAGTGTGTTTAATTTGGTGCTCATTGGCTTTGACATCCATAATGAACACAAGTGTGTTGTCCTCCATCTTTTTCATGGATGACCTCTGGGGGGGAGAACAGACAAGGGGGAACTTGATGTTGGCATTGTGGTCAAGCTTGTTTCTCCTGCGGGTGCTCTTCTGAGGGTATTTGGGCTCCCTCCGGAGCTGCAGTGTCTTGGGATAGCAGAAGGTGGGTGACATTCCTATCTTCTTTTTATGGCTGTGGATGCCTTTCAGCATGGACTTCTTGGCCTTCAAAGCTTTTGCTTTGGCTTCAGCTTTGGGAGGGGCAGGGGCTTCCTTGTTCACCCTCAGCACCATCTCGGTAAAAATGTTCTCTCAACCTATATTGCTTATTGCTTTTTTTCTTATTTTTCAGGAACTTGTTTAATGAACTGAGGATTGTTGTTGAACATATAATAATGAAACCTGCCTGCCTGCTGTTTGTGAGAAGACTTTGCCTCCAGAGCATTGCCTTTATAAGCAGACTGGCACCAACAGTTGTGTAGTTTAACATCTAGTTAAGCAATGTATATAATATAAGCATTATTAGCAGCTGGTACTTTTGCTAGGGATCAGAAATTCCAGGTCTTACACTGATTGCAATCCAATTTACATAATTTAAATAAATGTATCTCATTGGAAAAATAATCATTTCCCTGGCATGTTAAATCAAGCCTTTTTAATAAAAGTTTCTGAAAATTTTACTGTGCTCCGTTGCTAATGGATAAGGAAGTTTGTATCTATGGTAAATATACCAATTTTTTTAGATGCTGCTGTGCCTGTATCATGAAATACATTTATTTCTTGTAAAGCTAGTTCTGAAATTTGTTTCATTGTAATTAATAATCTGAGTTTATATCTAGCATGAATGCAGAAAGATAACGTGAATTCAGTATATTTTGAGACAGTATTCTTTTGCCATTCAGTAATTTTGGTTGATGATTTTAACAAATTATTCTGACTGTAATTTTATTTCAAATTGTTACTGATTTTGTGCTTCCTTGCTAGGATAGCTGTTGGGGATCACATAACGTTTATATCCCCAAAAAGTAGTACTGACACAGCTTTCCTTCTGGAGACTCATTGAGTAACATTTGTCAAATAGAAAATCCTTTTACAAATGTGAACAAGTAGGTTATTAGTGTAATTATAGTGCAGAGTTATCAAGTTCAGATTCTTGACTCTAGTTTTTTGGTCTCTTAGGCTTGAATTTTCCTAGACAGTTACAGCAGAATGTAATTGAAGATTGAGAATATCTGACTATGCTCATGTGTGTTCTGAAATAATAAAGATACCTTGTAGATTACATGTTTTTCCATCAAATTTGGTTCAAACGATTAAATCGAAAAATTTATAGGTATGACAATTATTGAGCATCTGGTTAAAGGAGGAGCTGATTATTTTTATTTCATAATACTATGATTGGGGGAACTGGATGGATTATGAAACTGACTTGGGTTGTACAATGTGTTAAATCCTATTCATTGGGCTCCGATCAACTGCTTTATAAAATTTATTCTGATCCTTACTACTATTGCATGATTGGAAATGTTTAAAATGTTGCACAATTTTAGACTAATGAAATGTTTTTTGTAACCATTTTTTTCTGTCTGCATGTAATTGGATTTCTCAAATACATTCATTAGTGACTTATGAGTAACATTTTTTTTTCTTTTGTTCCACTTCATAATTTATAGAAAGGTGATACTCTTAGGATAGATTACCAGAAAAATTCTATTTGGTAGCTTAACTACCATTGACTATTTTTGTATTTTTATAATGTTTATCCATGAAATTGGGGAAGCAACCTTAGTACACAGTTGATTTTGTACATGTGTGTGGCTAGCCTTAATACTACTCATGTAATCAGTGGTTTTAAGAACTAAACTTTAGAGCAATAAAGTGACTGTAATGTTAAGTAAACATACTGATTTCTATGTTTTAAAATACTGTCTTAAATTACATCAGATTTTGGCAGCTGAAGGCACATTCTGAAGGAGTTTTGTATAGATTTTTATTTATTTATTTTTAATCTGGAGATAATTGACTTAAAGAGTTTCAAAAGTAGTGCCAAAAGTTCCTGTATAACTTTTATTCAGCTTCCTATTACATTACTGTCTTACTTAACTAGTAGAACATTTGACCAAAGTAAGAAATTAACTCTGGAACAATACTGTTAACTCAAGTACAAAACTGACTTGAATTTCCCGTTTTCTGTTTCTTGTGTATATCTGGTCCATTTACTTTCAAAGCCTGAAAGTGTGTCTACATTTGAGTTTTCTTTATTTTTAAAGTTACTGCTGGTTAAGAGTTCCCTAAAGTAAAATTCTATGTTTGTTTTAACAAAAATAATTTTACCTTTAAAATTACAACTTCTGGGGCCAGGGAGATGGCTCAGTGGAATAAGTGCTTCCCTGGCAAGCGCATGGGCCTGAGTTCAATCCCCAGTTCTGCCAAAAATAAAATAAAATAAAATTACAATTTCAAATACGTTATAATTTGTTTTTAATAATGTAGCAGAATTGAATACTCAGATATGCTCACATTTGAATGAAATACGGATTTATTCCTTACTGGAATGCTTAATATATAGTATTCTTAAACCCATGAAAAAGTAAATTTTACAATTTGAGCATGATTAGATGTTAAGTTGGCATGAAATTAGTAGTTAGAAATTCTGCATTGTGAATATTTGTAGGCAGCTGATTTGGCATCTGAAGTTATAGATGTACCAAATTAAAATTAAGGAAATACAATAACTATATATAAATAGAATAAATGTAGTAGGAGAAATTAATTCTATATTACTAAACTTAATTTTTTCTTACAGGCTTAAAAGTTGATTTAACATCCAGAATATCTAATTCTTTAGGAAATGGTATAGTCCAGTGGTGGTGAGCCTGTGGCTTGCCTGCCACAGCAAGCTGTTTGTATCAAAACTCTAAAAGATTTGCCATCATTGATACAGTGCATAACCCTCTTGCACAGTCAGTAGGTTCAGACAAAACCTACTTTATTCTCTCAAGCATTTTGCATTCCTTTTGTATTTAAGTTTCTTGGTATAAAATTTACCAAGATACTTGGTTCTGTAAAACTTTTTTAAAAAATTGCATTTGTATATTTAAGACTGTCTATCCCTTACAAGCCAAGCATGGTAGCACCTATCTATAATCCCAGCACTTTGGGAGGCTGAGGCAGAGAGATGACAAATTTGAGCCCAGTCTGAGCAGCATAGAAAGACAGCGTCATAAATTTTTTTAAAACATTTAATGAGACAGGAGATCTATCTTGGTGCAAGGGCCTAGGTTCTAATCATCAGTACCGCAGCAAACAAAACAAAGCAAGCCAATATGAAAAGTTATAAAATGGGTTACATTATGCCAGTAATAGTTGCAGTGCAATCAGTATTTCTTTCCAAAAGACCCAGATAGAACATTATGATTGGGCTTGTACATTTAGAACCTGAATACTATGTATCCCAAAAGGAACATGAATATGTAATATGACAAGTAGAACTGAGAGGCGTAGGGTTCTTACATTTCAGATGAGAATATATGAAATTAATTTGAGGAATTGTAGTGCTCGCTTTGGCAGCACATATACTAAAATTTGAGGAATTGTATAGTTTCCCAACCCTTCCTGTGCCAGATCTAAGGAACTCAAAGCTGTCATGGAGTTTTGATAGAGAAAGTGGCTGGTTATGTTTATAAACATTAGGTGTCACTCTCATCTCAAGTAGCGCCCCCATTTTCAAATGCCACTAAAGTGCTGAGTCAACTGTAAAACTAAGGCTCTGAATTCTGACTTGTATTAGTTTAACAACTAATTTAGTAAGCATTTACTATGAGTACTTTTTATGTGCCAGGGATTAAATCCAGGGCCTCATGCTCTACCACGGAGCTACACTGAACCCAACAGTACTTTTTAAAATAATGAAATGTTCAGAAGTTACCTTGTCAATAGGTGCTGAAAATATGTAGAATGGGCTGCAGCTGGGTATGACATACAAATTACTATCTTTTTTTTTTTTTTTTTTTCCAAAGTGCCTAAATCACATAAACACAAATGTTAGGAAATTGTTTTCTGGTGTGTAGAAAACGGTACTTAAAAGTTTTTCATTTTGTGAGTACACTAGATGTCATTGTAATCTCTTAAAATTTAGACTTCACAGTAAGACAAAATACTGTAAATTGAAATTTGGAGATATTAGGAAAGGTATCAAGATTTGAAAATTACATGTGAATTGTAGAGACAGCTAGTTTTTCTTAACATATCATTAGAAGCTCTAGGATTAGGAGCTTGTCCTGATTAGCCTCCATAAGATGCTATATGTCAGTATAGCTCAACAGATAAAATACCAAAAGTATGCATATCTTTAAAAATCCAGGAGTTACTTCTAAAGATGGTTTTATTTAGTCTTATATATGGGGTAGAATTATTATCAGATCTGGTATTAAGGATAAAGGAGCTGGTAAAAGTTTGGAAGGTTTCCTGGTGGTAATTTAAGAAATGTTTGCGTTCTGAGGTAGTACTCAAGTGGGTGGTTTAGAAGGAAAATGTTCCTATGTGAAGGATTCTCCCTAGTCTTTCTTATATAGAGAACTGACGTGCATGTAGTTTGAGGTGAGGTAAACAAAACCAAAGTATAGTATTTTTCTTAATCTAAAGCAGATCCTTTTTCTCAGAACATGATAGGAAAAAAAATACAGATACCTGCTGGAATCTTAACAGCTCGTATTTTAGGAGAAAGAACGGAACAATCATTGCACTTTCTCTTTCACAGCCTTCTACAGCTTTTCTTTTGGGATACTTTTACACTTTTTTTTTTTCTTGGTTCTTGACAGGTTAACTTCAAAGTTCTATTTTCCTTTGTAACTGAAGGTAAAACAACTCTTAACATTAACTTTTGCCTACTTATGTATTTATAAGTTAAGACCATTAAATGAGCAAATTCTTGGGCAGGTAACATTTAATTATGTATTAAATATATATTGGACCAAATGTGAAAGGGTCCCAAAGGCTAGAGGCAGTTATAAAAAAACTACTTGTTACATAAACACATTACTTCTGGTGCTCTGTTAATGGGATATTATGAACAACAATTTGTAATATTTCAGCATTTCTTAGTAACTTTAATCCATTTTTGATATTGAATATTGCACAGATTGGGGAGTTATGTTTTTCAGGTCAATACTATCCAAGCTGTATAAATTTATAAAATAAATTGAAGAATTTATCATTCTCCTAGATTCAAGACCAAAGCACATAATGCAGATGTGTAAGATTCAGAGGGGAAATACAGTTCTCCTGCACATTGGAGAAAATGTGAGGTCCTTTCAAGAAAATCTAATAAACAATAATCATAGCCTGCTGACACCAAGGAAAAAGGACCTTGTTTGCTTTCTTTTATGCAGCAATTTATTGGTCCCTACTGATTTCCAAATTGGATCACTGTAGTAAATTATCCATGCTGGAACCTGTGAAAGTAAGCCCTGGGATCCATATTTGTTTTGTGTTTTGCTTAAATCAGCAAGAATAATAAATTTGATGGTGTGAAATTGGAAGTATCAAGGGCTTTCTTTGGGGATTGAGCAAAGTAATGTCTCCACTTGTAAATTATTGTGACCCTTTTTGCTGTATATGCACTATATGTCTAGTATTTATTTCATTATAAATTAAATTGTTCCTTCATCTGTATTGTTTAAGATTTTATTGCTATGAAAATCAAATTGTATAATAAAAATCTGGATTTAAGCAGATTGTAAGATGTTATGTTGCAAAAGTACATTTATGGTTAGAATTCAGCTTTCTTTTAAGCTTAATTGCCTTATTGTTTGAATAAGGTGAATTTGAACATTTCTCTTCACAGCCCATTACAAATAATAGAAATGGTGTGATTTAGGGGTACTAATGAAACTGAAAAACGGGCGAGTATGGTCAAAAAGAAAAATCACATTGGATATGTCAGCTGCTTGCGTGCTTCTGTATTTTTTTGTCAAATTTATAGCTTTTGGGTATATTTATAACCTTAAAGTGATTCACAATATAATATATCCAGAGTCATTAATCAACATGGGATAACCTGGCAGAAAGGAGTATATCTCTCTTTTAAGTCTTTAAAATTGGGGGGGGTGGTGGCAAATGTTTCCCATAGTAATTTTACACTGGTATTAAGTAGTACCAGTTCCAATTTACATACTTTCTTGTCCAATTGGAACAGATAAAGGCATACAATTCAGATATATAAAGGCAGTCTGAATAAGTGTCAAATATCAGTTAGTAAATTACATCTGGGGAAAAGTGTTTAGTAACCCAAAAATAAATCTGAGTAGAGGCTAGGGATATAGTTCAGAGGTGCAGTGTTCGTCTAACATGCTTGAGACCCTGGGTTCAATCTTCAGTAGCACCAAAAAGTGTTTGGAAAATTGATTTCCTGAAGATCTGATGATATACTGCCTTAGAGATACACATTCTTGACTCATAATGTACTTTGCTTTAACATAGGGGAATCCTTGAAGCTGTTTGTAACATGCTTCTGGGCTTTGGGAAGAAGATTATAAAATCCCTCAAAGAAATGGTAGACTCAGATCTTTGAGAATAGGTTATGTTTTAGCCATGGTCTTTCAAAGTTTTCTTTTGCTTTTAGCTGGATGGTAGTAA